ACTCCTGGCTTACCTGGATCACCCATTCGTCCAGATGATATAGCACGCTGAATCCAAGTGAGTAGTTCTTTGGCTCGTTCTTGATTCTTTTTCATAGATCTAAATTTTCTAGGAATATCTGGTTGACCCCGATTTTTTGCATATCCTGTTACTCCGGCATCTGTAATACATAAAGTTGTAAGTTCAGCAGGATGAATACAAAGCATCACCATGACATCAGCAAGGGCCAAATAATCAGATGGAGTTTTTAAATCATACGCATCCAATCTTTCTTTGACCGATTCTAATGTAAATTTATCTGGATAATCAATACGATTGGTTTCAGCCTTTTTCTGATTGTCCCTCTGAATTTTGTTAGCTTCTTCTGTAAAATCAGGAAATTTTGTGGCCTCGACTATTGCGGGTAAAGCACCAAGGCTTCTTAATTCTCTTCTGAGTCGGGAAAGACGTGATGAACCAGCATTAGCATTTTTTGCTGATAGGGCTAAAGCATAAGCTTCAGCTCTTATACCCCGAATACTAAGTTTATCCCGTAAAAGCCGATGCGCCATCTCTCCAATTGTTTCTCGTGTGGCCTGATTGGAAATAACAATGTTTACTGTGGAACAGGGCACTTTGTGCGTAGTTTTGCTTTTTGGTTGAACATTTTTTTGAATAGAGAGGCGACATAAGTCGCTTTGCAAAGCAAATAAGTTATCCACTTGACCCTCACTAAACCCATATTTATTTTGCAAAATTCGTTTTGCTTTCTCTCTGATAATCTCTTCTTCCGAATTTTTTGGAGGCTTGGTTACAACTATTCTACAACTACCTTCAACCAAATTTATAATTTTATTTTTCCCACCTCTCTGATTAGGTATTAGTATACTTACCTGCTCATTGGTAAATTTGAATCCTTCTTGAAGACGTCTTCGTGCCTGATTTCTTTTTCTATCATCAGTAAGATTCTCGAGAAACTCTGAGGTGTATCGACTGAGATCAGTCACACTCATTTTGGGGCTAAGATTGTATTTTTCTACGATTTTAGTTGCAATGGCTAACATGATTGAATGTTATAATAGGTCAGGTAGTTTATGAACAGTACTTTAGGTTATATACACTATAGAGATTCTTTTTTCAAATCGAAATTTATTACCCCATGCTCAGAAAAAGAGAGTATATGCCTACATATGGGATAACCGGGACGTCAATTTGAAATTTACTATTACATAGGATATAACAAAAAAATTATAACTTCGGGGGTAGGAGCCCAAGCTATATTAAGATTTATGATTCGTTTTTTTTATAATGCTTGGAATAGATTCCGGTATGTTTCTATACTTATAAACCACTTCTTATAAATATCGGGTCTATTTTCCATTATATCAATTGGTGAAACTATAGCTGGATGGGATAGAGCATTCATGAATCTAATTTGCTCAGGATGATAATCCATAATATCTGGTAATTGTAGAAATTCGGCTAAATCTTTTACGTACCTATAACCATTGCGCATTAGTTTGCGGAACGTTGGCCCGTTGTGATCGATCTCTCTCTTGGTTAATAAGTTGACTACTTTCTGGGGTGTTTCCATTTTTTAGTGTGATGTATAGTGCCAATATATATTCGATTATATTATTACAAAATACTTTGGAAAAGTTTAAATTGATTTTATATTAAATATATTTACATAAAAAAGTGAAACGGGCTTTATACGTTATATATTAAATCACTTTGAATGGGGTATCCAACCAGTCAATACGTTAAAGAAGACGATTCGGAGTGTTCAACATATCAATATGTTAAAAGAGATAGTCCGGGGCGTTCAACCTGCCCATATGTTAAAAGAGATGGTTCGATTTGTGGAAAAAGTTGTTGGCGGGACATAGGATGCTCGTTGCACTGGAAATTATATGATACGAATATAGCAAAATTTCCTTGTGGGATCTGTGGAAAACTAACAATTTCTGGGACGGGATATTGCCCTAAACATACGAAGAGGGTTTACTTTCAAAATTGGTATGAGAGACAAAAGGCACAGAGAATAGAAGCAGATGAATAATTATACTCACTTTTATTAGATATTAGTTTTAAGCGTCACAAAAATGGTCTTCGTAATGGATTTTTTTACAAGTATCATTTTTAAGCGTTACAAAAACCCCTTATAAAATATACCATGGACTCTAAATACTTGTTTTAAACTATATCGAATAAGTCCTGAGTATTTTGTGAGATAGAATTAGGAGGTGGTTCTAATTCATCAGGTGAGAGTTTACTATAAGAATATCGCCAATCTTCCCCATTTTCCCAATCCTCACCTGTTTGATATGCTGATAATTCTGGTGCATATGCCTTATCGAATACACCTACTAAACTGTAGTATCTAAGACTTTTGTCAGTAGCTTTTAATTTTAATCCATAAGTCGCATAAAGTGCTGAATTCAATAAACCAAGTTTCAATCTAAGAGTTTTCAATCCAGTTTTTTTAGCACGTCGGGATGAATCTGTATTATCAAAAACCTGAGACATTTTTGGAACTAGTTCTTGAAGGTATTTTATGGATACAGGTGATTCTAAACACGATTTAACAATATCAGCTTTATATCTACTCCAATCATCAATATCTTTAACGGGTGTACAAGTCTTTAGTAGATCCAGACAAATTCGATGTTTTTCAGCTCTAGTAACAATTGTGAGCCTATCATCTCTATAATCTTCACGGGTAATGGCCTCAACTGCTGACTTATTATCAGTGCCTGCATCCCGTAATTTCTGGAGAGCTCTAAACCAGCGCATATGATTATAATTTCCAAACTCTGAGATGAATTCTTCAGTCAGAGTCTCAGGTGTTATATCATAGCAATTCACAATATGGTGCCGGTCTAATGCTCGCATTTCTTCTAAAGTTTTCTTTGGTTTATTTTCTAGATGCTCAGCTGTTTCGCGGTTAATAATATTCGCATTTGCAATGTCTGAAATTTCCTCTGCTTTAATAATCGAAGAATACCCCTTTACTGTTTCAGTTAATGACACGGTATTATCTTCAGGTTTGGGAGTTGGCTCTATTACTGAAACTATCATACCCGCCTTTCGGAGAAAATCTACCATTCTCCATCCAAATAGACGTTGAGAGCGGAATTTTTCCAACATATATGCCACCCATAATCAGATAGTTGGGACATCTTTATTTCGAATAATAGTATCTATACTTGGAAATATTTCTCTATTCTGAAGCTCTTGAGGGAGACATCCGCGTTTTGCTTCCGTTAGCTATTGAAATAACTCCTCTTCTGTAGTTGGGACTTTGGATGTTCTTTGTTGAATATAACATATATAATCTTTAATGCAACACATGCGGAATAGCATCTGATTAGTTCCAGCATTTGTTTCTATATAACTATTAAAGAGACAGAATGCACGCTCAAACTTAGGATTAATGCAAGAAACTCCTATCTTTAATGTACTGGTATATGCAATGAGATCAACACTTTTCCATGCCTCCTCCACGTCTCTGAAATCTTGAGTTTTCTCTGTTGGATCAGACTTACCATGATACTCTTTTATACATAAATTAGGGAACTCCTCTTTAAGACTGCGCATAATACCTTGAATATTTCTTCTTTCATGACAGATAAGTGATGCGCTTTTTCGCTCCTCAAAAGGTAATGATGACATTTGCTTGGCCCAATCCCAGAGCTCTATTAATACAGTTTCTTTATCAGAAGCTAGATGGAATGTTTTACCTTTTTGGGGCTGGTATGTGTTGTGGATAACTGAATATTTCCTATTTGATCGAAGTCCTTTAATCCATTCAATATTAAGGTCAGTGAGATCATTATCTAGTACAATAACTCTTTCTGCCTGAGTAATTAATTCTGAGAAATTGGCAAGAGATACAAATAAACCACTTAAACGAGTTTGTGTTTGCGCGATAATTGATACAATCTCATCTAACACTAGAATGTAAGAATTTGGACATTTATATTTTTTGTCGCATTTACATTTATTAGTAATGCGATGTAAACTTTCCACCTGGCATACTACCCTTTGATGTTCTCTCAGATTTATAGGTCCATCAATATCACAATATGATTTGAGATTGAGCCTAGTAGTAATAGCATCTGAATATGTGTGGCGAGTCGATACTACGAGTAAGCTTGTATTTTCAGGAATATTTAAATTTTCCATAGCATATGTTTTCCCAGTTCCCCAATGCGATCCTATATAAATATCGTTTTCTTTAGATAGAGGTTTCACATATCTTTCTTCATATCTTTCTGATGCAGTAAGGGGTTCATCGCATTTAACCCAAGATGGTATTTTTAGAAAGGCTTTTGGGAATCCTGAGTCTTTTGTTTTACGAGAGGCGAGTGATAAGATATTATTTTTATTTTTTTGCCAGATTTTTTCTGCGATAGATGGGTCATTGAAAATTTCCCCTGATTCATTACAATTTTGCTGGAAGCATTTCACAATGAATGAACCATTACCATATGCACGACCAAACCACCGCTGATCCTTGTCGTGTGTGCGATTACATAATGGACATTCTATATATGCTTTTCAGCTAAAATATACATACCATTGAGAATTTTTTTCTTCAATATCCCAACCACCAAGATAATCAGGATATTTCTGCAGAATCAGATTTGCATATTTTTTTAACGCATCTTGGCCCACTATTATTTTTTTCTGATTATTTATTTTTACACTAAGTATACGGGGCCTTACTTTATATTTCAAACTAGTAGGTGGTTGAACTCGGCTGTCATTGAGATCTTTCCACCCATTATCTAGTGAGAATTGGAGTATGCGCTTTACACGATCTTTTTTTGCTGAACCGATAAGACGAAGATTAAAATTCTGTCCTGGTAATCCCCTGTCAATAAACTTTCTATATTTTTCTCCTGTCAATTTATATACCAGTTCTGTAAATTCCTTAAGTTCCAGGTGATCAACAAGAAGAGTTGGAGCATATAGGAGATGATAACTGCATTTACTATCATCAGATGATGTCATAATTACCAATCCTTTAATAATTTCTTCCCAACTACAATCAAGAATTCTATACAATGCTCTTACAAATGAACAACAAATATTGAAAAACACATTTTTAGTATTAACGTTTTCAGCTTCCATTTTTTCTTTAGATGCGTCAATATCAATTACTGGTCTTAGTGGGTTTTGGCCATTAATACATTCGTGAATTCCAGGTAATCCATACATTTCTGAGATATCATCTACAACTGAGAATTTTTTGTATTTACCTTGTTCTACCTGTATAACTAATTTATCTGCTAACTCCCCCCATGTATATGCATCAAGCAGACTAATTCCTTCTTTTGCTCCGTAATTAGGTAAGAGATAGTCCCATAAATGTATATCTTCTAATGATCCTTTATTGTTCGACATATCTCTGGTAGGTAAAGAAACGATTTCACGGATTTTATTCATCACATCTTTTTGTGTAAATTTATCATCGAATCTTTCTTGCCTTTTGGAATATGTGGGGCTCACTTGCTTTGTGGAATATGTCGTATTAGACATTAGTTCTTCTACTTTAGGGGGTTGGGGTATTGGAGGCTTAATAGTACTTGTTTCGGTATCTGACTCATAGTCGGAACCATAGTCACTGCAATTCTCTGATCCACTTTCAGATATATTATCACTATAGACATCTGAGTCACTTGAATAGTCATCGGTTTCCCTGCCCCTGTACCGCTCGAGTTGTGCGCTTTGTTTGCTCATTTTTGGTATTTGGTTTTTTATTGGTATGTATCAATCTTTGTTCGATTATATTATTACAATATA